CTCGCTTCGGGTCCAGGAGGGGGAGAAAAGGCCCTGGAAGAGGGGGGAGAAAAGGCCCCGGACGGGCGGGGGGAAAAGGGGGTGTCTTAGTATAGAAGGAAGAAGGGGGGAGATAAATCCTCGAGCCTCCCTTTTTTTGGGGGGGTGTCATGATAAAAAGGGGGGGTTCCCAGGGCCTGCCCTCAGAGGGCCCCGACTCACCCGCGCCCAAGCTGCTCCATGCTGAGGCGGAGGTCGGAGACGGGCGAAAGCTCGTCCTGGAAGAGCGCCTTGACCACGGCGGGCGAGGCGGGGGACGCCGGCGAGGCGAGCGAGAGGCGGCGGCGGCGATGGAGAGCGGCGGGCGCGAGATCCATAGGAGCGGGAGACCGGGAACGGGACCGGGCAGGGGGAAGAAGGACAGCGAAGCGCTCCCGTCAGCGCGGCCGCCGCGGCGCTTTGGCCCCAGCCGGTACCCGTCGGCCTCTCCGAAGCTGGCGCCAAACGGCGGCTCGGCCAATCGGCGCGCGGCGCGCGACGGGGGGCGGGTTGTTTTTTTTCAAACCCCCCCTCCCACCGCGCGCGCTCCCACCAGTAGGAACGGCCGCGCAGGGGCCGGGCCCCGCCCACCGGCCGTGATCGACGTGCCTTCGGGCCAATGGGAGGGCGAGAGAGCAGGGGTGGAGGGAGGACTACATTTCCCGGCATTCCCAAAGGACGGAATGCGTTTTTTCCCTGCGCGTTGCGTGCTGGGAAATGTAGTCCTCAGGCTCGGCCGAGGCGCCGCTTTGCCGCCATGTTTCCGGCTGCCTCCTCTCGGCCGGGGGCGGGAGGGGAAGGGGCGGAATAACTGGGAAAAATGAGGGAAAAAGGGCGAAAGTGTTGCTATTTGCCTTAAAAATGGATACGCGCCCAGCTTTACGGCAGAGCCATTGCCTTGGCCTGTCCTGGGCTGAGAGGAAGGGGGAAAAATATGGGGAAAAAATGAGGGGGGGAAAAGGGCAAAAGTAAGTGTGGCATTTACCCAAAGTGTCATTTGCCTTAATAAATGGACACACACCCAGCTTTACAGCAGACCCATTGCCTTGCCTTGCCTTGCCTTTCCTTGACTTGCCCTGGGACTGAGGGGAAGAGGTGGGAAAACTGGGAAAAATGAGGGGAAAAGGGCACAGGTGAGTGTGGTATTTACCCATGTGTTGCTATTTGCCTTAAAAATGGATGCACACACAAACACAGAATTTTTCAGAGGACCTGTTGCCTTGCCTTGCCTCCATCTGCCGTGGGACTGAGGGGAAGGGGGGAAAACTGGGAAAAACGAGGGGAAAAGGGCACAAACTCAGCAGGTAACGGGGTATCAGCGTTGGATCCGGGGGATCCCACTCCTCTGCCCCGGCCCTGCCACCCCACCCGTCTCACGATGTTCCCAGTCCCTGGATTACACAGCGGGGTGTTTGCTCCTGCCCTGACCTCCCGGGATCTCACAGATCCCCATCACACTCCTGCTGTGCCCTCGCTCCAGCTCTCCAGTCTGCCCTGCCCCCCCTCCCTGAACATTTTATTTTCTAGAAACCGTTTTTGCAGGGGTTTTACAGCCGCTACTATCAGCTCCACCCTGACTTCCTGGGCGTGGGGTGGCTGCACCCTACAACACATCGCCCCACACCAAGCCGTGCCACAAGCCACGAAGCGCTGCCAAAGACCTGCACGGGCAATCAGAGCCTTCCCTGCCTGCCTGCTGATCACTCCTGTGTCCTCAGTGCCCACAGGGACAGGCAGGACACTGCCACCATGGGATCTAGATGGGACACCAGCGTGCAGACACCCCCCAGGCAGGACAGCACGCCTTTAATGCTCCAAAGGACTCAGAAGGAGGAGATGCAGCGAGGTGCAGAGTAGACCCAGCCCAGGCAGAGCTGTGGTGCTGTGTCACTGGCAGGCTTCCTGCCTGCTCAGCCAGCCCGGGGCACGGCAGGGCACTGGGAGGCACCCGACCCATCAGTCACACAGGCGGATGAAGGTTTCTGCTGACCAGAGCCAAAAATACGGGAAGACCTTCTCGGTGAAGGAGGTCTCGAACTGCAAGATCTGCTCCATGTTCTCTGCGTTGTAGAAGGTCACTCGGCCCCCTTCGTAGTCCAGGTGGACCCTGATCCTCCGGGGCTTCTCCTGCGGTGCCAGCGGGGCGGGCAGCCCGTGGAGCGCCGTGTACCGGCCCTCCCAGTCCAGCCGCAGGGCCCAGATCTTGCCCAGGGCGATGCTGAGCGAGTCCTTCCTCTGCACGGACTCCAGGGCCACCCCCACGGCCCAGCTGTGCCCCTTCCCGACCTCCAGCTCCCAGTAATGCCTCCCGGATGTGAACCCCCGGGAGCCCAGCACGCTGGGGCTGTCCGTGAATCTCCGGGGGGTGTTGGGGAGGTTCTGGAATCCCTCAGCGAGGCGCAGGGTTCTGTGGTCTGCAGAGAGGAGCAGGAAAGGACTCGCTGTCTCCGGGTCCAGCGTCACCTTCTCTAATGGACGACAGAGAGAAAGGTCAGTCTGTGAGACTGAGAGAACCAGCACCTCTCCCTCCCGTGAGCAGTGTGCACTCCTGCAGCCCCCTCGGGGGGCACAGGGCACAGGACCCTCCCTGCCCTCCCCTCTGGGACCCAGGGGTGAGGCAGGACTGAGCCAGTGTCCCCACGTGCAGGGGAGGGACTCAATGGACTTTGCTAAACCCGCTTCCAGGTCTGCTGGATATTGCTGGCTCCACAGCCAGGCTGGCAGATATCCCGTGGGTGTTATCCAGGCAGCAGTGGTGCCAGGCCAGTCCCTGCTCCTGTGACAAGGCTGGCAAGTGCTCACCGAAGGGAAAACCAGCTCCCCACCCTGCCCTGCCGAGTAACCAGGCAATCAACCCCCCTCCAGAGCTGGAGCCGCCCATCCATGTGGGATGTTCTGCTGCCATCCCGCGGCCATCCCACAGGGCCACACAGGTGTCACCACCCCGGGCCCTCTGCTAAACCCACTCCTCCTGCAGCCTGGGGGAAACTGAGGCACAGCTGCCCTGTGCTCGAGTCCCTCATCCCGAAAACTGAGTGGGCACTTGTAAATGCCAGCTGAAAACACGTGCAGCCCCCTCTGCTCAACTGGTCACAGCCCCACACGGCCCGTGCTGCCCTGGCCGTCGTTCTGAGTCGCAGGACAGTGGCAGTGGCACTGCCTGGCACGGGGACAGATCAGGAATTTCACAGCAGGCCTAGTCAAAACAACAGGACACGGTTCCAGACAGACGCTGGTTCTGGATGTTGTGGCGTGAGCCTATCTCTGTGCCAAGGACACGAGGATACTCATCCTGGGAAGCTTTTCTCCCTCGTTTGTGCCCATCAGCTCCAGAAACTTACCCCTTTCCCTGTCTATGTTGCTCAGCAGGTTTTCTGGAAGAAGAAAAGGAAGATGCATGAGTCTCTCCTCCTGTGGCACCTTTCCCACTCCCCATCAGGACAGCAGGCCAGGCATGGGCTCTCAGAGCCCCAGGCTCCAGTGAAGCCTATCCTGGAGATGGTTCCCATCTGGAGCGGGCCTGTTTTGCTCCCAAACCCCAGAGCAGAGGCACCAGGCAGCGAGGATCTCCCGCTGCCAGCCAAGCCCAGGGGAAGTACAGCACAGAGCCAGCAGTGCTTTACCTTTGAATTTGGCCACTGTGCCCAGGACCAGCTGGCACGTCTCAGAGAGGGTCTCAACACTCCTCTGCAGCTCCGGGGAAACCGCCTCCGGGATCGGGGCCTTGGCTGCCTCACAGCTGAGGGGGAACAACATGGAGAGGAGCTCTGAGCACCCAGCAGGGAAACCCCCCCAGCCACAGAACTCAGGAGCTGAGCCCCAGCTACCAGCACGGGAACCCCGCCTTTAAGAGGGGTGCAACGGCCTCTGGTTCCCAGGGACACCACATTAAATCCCAAACTCTCAGCAGGGCAAACCACCTCCCTCCCGGCTCCTGCAGCATTCCCAAAGCTCTGCCCAGAGGAGCCCGTTTCGTACCTGCTCAGGACTTTGCCAACATCCTGGAAGAGAGAACACACGGGTGAGCTCTGGCAGTGCCCACATGGGGCAGGGAGGGGCAGTTGCTGCGTGAAGTGGGTGATGGGGATCGGGGAGGGGGTCGCTCCACACCTCATCCCAACCCTCCCCTTCCCTCAGGGAACGCTGCAGCCCCCGACCCACACCAGCCACACTGGTGTCACAGCCTGGCACCACTGCCAGGCTCTGGGCTGCACCGGGATGTGCAGGGTGCCAGGTGGGTGCCCCCCCAGCCTCACCACGGGGTCACAGGCCCAGGTTGGGTGGTGCCCAGCCTCACCATGAGGAATTCCACCTCCGGCTGGTCCCGTTTCTTCTCGATGTCCGCGATCAGCGCGTCCAGCAGCGATTCCCTCTCTGCCACACGGGAGCTGTGTTCGGAGCGCCTCTTGACGAGCTCCTGGGACACTGGGCCAAGCTGGGCCAGCAGGACCCTCTTCTGCTCCTGCAGGAACTTCTCCAGCTCCTCAAAGGTGTTCTGCAGCCTCTCTTCCTCCAAGGCCACCGTGTGCTGCAAGGCATCACGTGGAGGCCGTGAGCCATCCCGGACTCCTCTTGGGAGAGGGGCAAAGTCACATGGAAAGGGAGAAGAGGTTTTGGAGAGGAAAAGCTGGAAGAATGGAGAGAGGAGTGGCATGTCTAGATGTTGATGGACCCAGGGAGGAGATATGGGATGGACAGAGAGGGAGAGAGAAAAGTGCGTTGTCATGGAAACGGAGAGAAAGATGGGACGTGCCCGGGGAAGGTGGGTTGGGTGGGTGGGTGCAGGGCATGGAGGGGAACACACACCAGCAGCTCATCACTTTTTGGCTCTCCTTTGGGCTTTAATTCTTCCCTTGCTTTTTGCAGAAAAACCAGGTTGCTCTGGAGTGTCTCCTGGGGTGGGGAGGAAAAAAACAAAGGCGGATTTGGCAATTTTGGAGTGATATTTGCAGGAGGGAGATGATGTCACCAAACAGCCCCTGTGGGGACAACCCTGCTCTGTGGGGTCACTGGGAGTGGCCCCTGGGTGCCTAGGGGTGGGTTTTGAGCTCAGAGGCAGCACCCACCTCTCCAGGCACACATAAGTGAAGCTGGGGAGATCCTCATCCACAGCTGTTTTGGCCAGAAACATTTCTGGAATAGCTTCATGTGGAAACCCTGGAGTTTGTGGTTTGGGTTTTTTGGATTTTTTTTATTTTTTTTTTAATTAGGAAAAACAACTTTTGGTGTTGGAAGTGGGATTTGTGGGAAGAGGTTTGCAGTGACAGTAGAGCGTGTCTCAGACACACTCCATAAATCTGCTGGAATATTAAAAATCCCTTGTGCTCCTCCGAGCCATCCCCTGCAGCACAGCGAGCTGGGACCCCACATTTTGGGGGAGAGACCCCAACTGGGGATGAATGGGGCACAAGAGACTGTGTGGGGATACAGAGGTGGGGGGAGAGGGACTTGTGCTCCTGGGAGGGCTGGGGGCAGGCGGCAGGCAGTGGGAGCCACGGGAGAACCAGCAGCCCCAGCAGGTTGGGATAAGGGACCCCAGCCCACGGCCAGATGGGGACCCCAAACCTGTACCCAGACAGGGCCCCCAGCCAGCAGCTGGATGAGGCCCCAAATCTGTGGCTGGACACCCTAACGTGTGCGTGCAGGAGAAGCAGACTGTGCCCCGAGGGGACCCCAGTCCGTGCTCAGAGGAGACCCTGACCTGTGTTTGGGAGGGATCCCACATGGCTGCCTGGAAGGGACCCCAACCTGTGCCCTGAGGGGACCCCAACCTGTGTCCCGAGGGGACCCCAACCCGTGTCCCGAGGTGCCCCCAGCCTATGCCCGGAGGGGACCCCGACGTGTGCCCTGCTCCCCCCACCCGCAGCCGTGAAGCCCCCAGCCCGTCCGCAGCCTGTACCCGCAGCTCCCCAGCAGCCCGCTCCCAGCCCGTCTCCAGCCCATGCCCAGCCCGTGCCCAGCCCGTCCCCATCCCGCTCCCAGCCCGCCCCCAGCCCGTGCCCAGCCCGCTTCCAGCCCGCTCCCAGCCCGTACCCGTAGCTCCCGGGCAGCCCGTCCCCAGCCCGTGCCCAGCCCGCTTCCAGCCCTCTCCCAGCCCGCTCCCAGCCCGTTCCCATCCCGCTCCCATCCCGATCCCAGCCCGCTCCCATCCCGTACCCGCAGCTCCCGGGCACCCCGCTCCCATCCCGCTCCCAGCCCATTCCCAGCCCGTCCCCATCCCGCCCACAGCCCGCTCCCACCCCGCTCCCAGCCCGTACCCGCAGCTCCCGGGCAGCCCGTGCCCAGCCCGTTCCCACCCCGCTCCCATCCCGTACCCGCAGCTCCCGGGCAGCGCTCTCGGCGGCGCGGGCGCGGTGCGGGCGGTGCGCGGGCCCGTCCATGCAGAGCGCGCACAGCGGGGCCGCGCAGGGCTCGCAGAACAGCGCCAGGGGCTCGCCGTGCTCGGGGCAGCGGGGCCGCCGCGCCGCCTCCTCCAGGGCCCCCGCCAGCCCCGCCACGGCCCCCAGAGAGCGGTCGGGGCGCAGCGAGCCCGGGGACAGCGCGGCGCGGCACTGCGGGCAGGCGGCGGGGCCGGAGCCCAGCACGGCCCGCAGGCAGCGCTCGCAGAAGCTGTGCCCGCACTCGGTGAGCACGGGCCGCGAGAACAGCTCCAGGCACACCGGGCAGGTGGCCTCGGCCGCCAGCTGCTCGCCCAGGGCCAGCACCTCCCGAGCCATGGGCCGAGGGGGAAACCGAAAGTGCCGGCACCGGGCGGGAGCGGGAGGGGGGAACGGGGCGGGATGGGGGGGCGGGAACGGGGCGGGGCTGCGGGGATGGGAACGAGCTGGAGGCGAGTGTGAGAGTGTGAGAGTGTGTGTGTGTGTGTGTGTGTGTGTGTGTGTGTGTGTGTGTGTGTGTGTGTGTGTGTGTGTGGGTGTGTGTGTGTGTGTGTGTGTGTGTGTGTGTGTGTGTGTGTGTGTGTGTGTGTGTGTGTG